GACTAACTTGGTTAAATAAAGAATAATTACGTTAACTGTGAGCTAGGGCAGGAAGTGACTACCTTTATTTATTCATATCACAATATAAAGGTCTATAAGGTTCTATAGTGTGTTGCAGTTTGTTGCATATCTACTCTCATATACATAAGGAAAGTTTGTCAGCCACACTATTCAATTCAAACTACTGCCTCTACAAACCCTTTCTCTGTCATTATTGGTGTTTTCAACATCTGCACAGCCTCCACAGTTGAGCAGTGTTTAAACTGTTCTCGCTGTTAGACGTAGCAAAGCAATTAGCAGCACATTTTGTTTGTTTAACCTCACGTCAGAGATGAAAACTGCAGTGAACAAGCACATTATAGCTTTCAAGTTATAAGCCATGTTAGAATGTTGTTACCTCCTCAAAAACATACACGGAGTTGTGTTTTGCTTCAGTCACCTTCACACATTCACATATTTGAGTAATACTTTATTATTTATCTGTCCATCTATCTTCAAAGCTCAAAATGCTCTGTTGGAAATCAGCTGCGAAGTCCCATTGGCTGGAAGGTCCCCAAGCTGGAAAGTCCCTCTGTATTGTACCCTTTATGAAAGTTAGTCAACCTACATACATATCAATAAATAAAAAAACATGTTTTCGTTAGATATATTGCATTAATTACACATGCAAGTTACAATAAATCTCAACGCATTTGTTCATACATACAAACAAAACATACAAAAATTATGTGGTCTCAAACTCAAATAGAGTAAATACAGTGTGTCAAATTACTCAGGAATAGTCCACCAGGTACACTCCTGTGTTCTCAATAAATGTGCCACAACTGTTTCAGGATTTTATCTAACATATTTCAGTGAAATACGTAGTTAAGACCTTTCTAAAAGTGATTCTGAATGATTTTTGAACAAATTCTGTAGCTTTTTAAGTTTCTTGTGTTGTGCTTCTTACAAATTATGTTCATGGCAGCAGGTAAGGAAATAATGAATATTTCTTCTCAAATCAACAGTTACAGATGCTATAGATGCTATAAAATGATTTAAAATATGTTTTTTTATGGTAAACTTCTGCGAGCAAATGAGGATTCTATTGATATTACATACTGAAAAAATGTGTACCTCTTCGGGAAGATCGGTAAAATGATAAACAAGATTCGACATTTGGTCTCGTTACATTCACATTTCATTTTATTATGAAATAGAATGCTGATTTTTTTTAACTCAATACATCACATACCAAAGGCCAACAAGAACATCCCCCTCGAGCAAAGCAGTTACCCAAGAGACAGGAGTGCCCGGAGGGAGGAGGGGGATGTTCCCGCCGAGAGAATGGGATGCTCGAGCTGGGACTTTCAAGCCAAGGGGATGCTCAAGCCTGTATTCACTCTGTTCCACCTTGTGATGTTTAACAGCTACCTTTTACCTTTAGGTCAGTAGAGATTGGCAGTTCTAGGGCTGAAATCTTCCAAGATATTCTAGTGAAAGTGTATGGAGTTTAAAAACACAGTTGAGCACTTCCTGTATTACTGCATGACATCACAAGGTGGAACTTTAGAGTCTTAATTCAGCCTAAATATGCAGTGTTTTAAACATGAGTGAATGAAACAAAACACAACTCCAGGTATGTTTGTGATGAGGAAACGACATTATAGTATTATACATTGATCAGAAAATAGTGTAATATGAGCCTTTTAAAACAGTGTGTCATCATGAATGATATAATATGACCCTTATCATCTGTGAGTGAGATTTTATGTCGAGTTTTGATATAATATGCAAATACTTAAACAATCCCTTTCCTCTCTGACAGCTTTATTGCTCTGTACCAGTTGTAGCTGTCATGTTCTTGTAGTGTCTGTTTAGTTACATGCTTTCATCACACAGAGGCTTGTTTTAATGGAGGGTAAGTCATCCTCCCAGGGCATCCACAGCTCAGGGTCAATTAACCTGATCAATGAAGGACAAAGTGAAAAGGGTCGATCATATTCTCTGTATTTGTAATGCAGGGATTTTCTCCTGCTAACAACAGCATCTCTTTGATGGTGAATGCTGGTCAGATAGCAATCGTTGTTGTGGAGGAATTTTCCAATAAATCTAGATTCACATGCAACTTGTGGAATGGGATAATTTAATCACAGAGGAATTTTCCAAGAGCTGAGCAAACCTTGTTCAATGTGATTTTTTTCCATTCCATTGTTTTAATACACACAATAACCCTTTGGCAGTGGCTAAAGCAAACCCATTCTAGGGTAACATTTTGAATTCATGCTATTATGCTGCACAGCTAGGGTTAATACATATTTACTAGAGATATTTGGACTTTTTAGTGTATCAGCTATTGGCCTTCAGTATCAATCTGCTGCTTAAAATATACACACTAAAATTTATATTAAATCTATACCAGCAGTCCCCAACCTTTTGTGGGCCACGGACTGATTTCATGTCAGACAATATTTTCATGAACCAGCTTTTATGGTGTGGTGGACAAATATGTCAAAATAAAATGATACGACCTACACAAAAACATGTGTTATTTTGTAAATACAATTTTGTTCTGTTTTTTAGTGTTAATGTATAACATGACCAGAGAAGCATCTTGACACTGGTCAAGAGTGAGTCAAGAGTGAATCATAGATGGATGTAATGGAGAGAATTGGGTAATTTTTCAAATAAAACATTGTTCAGACTTGGATAATGAATAAAATGGAAACAATGTAAGTTATGTATTCGTTCTGTGTAGTCTAGTACCAAACCACCCATGGACCAGTTCCAGTCCCCAGCCTGGGGGTTGGAGACCGCTGCTCTATACGTCCTTATATTAACTCTGTATGAAGAGATAGCTGTACAAGACATGACTGCACAGTTCTCTTATAGGTGTGTGGTAAAAAAAAAAAAAAAAAAAGAGGCTTGGAGGGAGTTTGTAGTAAATTTAAATAACATACTGAAAATTGGGCAAAATGGCTCTAAAATATAGGCAGATCTCATCACCCACCGGTTGCTCTCTAATAAAAAAAAAAAAAGAAACAGCATCGGTATCAGCCATGTAAAAACCTATATTGTTTGATCTCTGATATAGATTCTAGGTTCTCATTGCATCATTTACAATTCACCCCTGTACAGCTGTCATGTAGAGTTTAAACTTTCAAAGTTTTAACCAAATTCCAAACTTTTAACTAAATCAACTTACAGTTATCACTGCTTTACCCACTAAGCGTGCATGTGTTCGTTTAGAGTGTGTGCGTATGTGTGTGTGTTTGTCTGGTAGTGGTTGATTTGGAAGGTGGGTATACTAGCGCTGATCAATTTGGAGAAAAAAAAATCTGTCAAGCATTGCAATTGTGATTAGATTTGTGATTTGTTTTAATTATATAGGATTCAGGTCAATGTGCAAATTTTAAACATCTAGGAGAATTAACAAAAAGACTGAAAGAACTGATGAACTGATGAACTGACAAACTAATACAAGAATCACATTTCATATTTCAACATATTTGTACAGAAAATCAACTGGGTTAGCTGTTTTTATGCAGGTTAAGATGGTATAGTTCGTCTTTTTTGGAGGAAATTATGATCAAAAATGAGAAGCAATAGCGTCCACTCAAACTGAGATTATGATTCAGTCCTAGCATGTTCTTTAAAATTGAAACTTTAAAAAAAAAAAACTACTCTGCCAATATGACCGGACTTAACCTTGTGTTGTTTATGGATATCGACACTTAAATGAAGAAACCTTTGTCCTTGTAGCCATATTGTGAGAGAAGAATGCTCGCAGGCAGTTACACTACAGCGCCTGCCTGCTACATGTGTGAAGGTGAAGCTAATAATCACATTGAGCGTGGCTTGCTGTCGGTTCGATGCCATTCTAACAGCATCTTAACAGCGTTAACCGGTGTGTGACAGGAGAAGGTGTGCATTGGCTAATTGCATCTGTTACAATATCCTGGGCCCCTCAGAGACACTGTACACATGGTATGGCAGAGACATGAGACCACAGGAGGAGGCTCAAAGCTTGTTTACGCTCCCATCATAAATACACAAGTGGGAATAATTACAACCATAATGAAGAGGCAGTCTCATTAGAAATATCATGGCCAGGACACTTCTATATCTATATATCGATATATCTATATTTATCTCTTATGTCTATTTATTAGGAATGTAACAATAACTGAAATATTGTGATATTGTATCGTCAAAGTTCTCACAATAATATCATGGACCATCACAATATATCAAATTACAAGTCTCTTTGCATAAAAAAAGACTGATGGTGCAGCAGTAGCTCAAAAAAGACAAGAGGAAACTACATAGACCATGATCCTTTGCTCCATTTCCGTGCAGATTACAAGAAGAAATAACAGTTCTAAGCACTTTTAAATGTTAGTCCTTTGGATTAAGTCTTGTCAAGGCATTTTAAGAGGAAAAAGTAGCATATTAACAGTTTTGTTACAAAATATCGCAATAAATATTGTACCGTGAGATGTATATCGTGAAAACTGAGAGATCTGGATATCGTTACATCCCTAATTGTAAGTGTCCCCACCATATGATGAGCTTTCCCACAGTATCACAATAAATATCATACCGTGAGTTTCATACTGTGAGGATATTGTATCGTGAGACTTGGATATTGTTACACCCCTAGTATTTATCCATCTATAAATACTGTATATATATATATATATATATATATATATATATATATATATATATATATATATATAGAGAGAGAGAGAGAGAGAGAGAGAGAGAGAGAGAGAGAGAGAGAGAGAGAGAGAGAGAGAGAGAGAGAGAGAGAGAGAGAGAGAGAGATTTTTTTCATATATTGGTAAAAATGAGAGTGATAAATATCTAGCACCACCGATCCTCAACATATAACCTGTAATCATGAATAGGCTGGTTGTTTCATAAAATGTCCTTGAGCTTCTTTCCTTTGAGTTTGTTGTTTATTTTCGCTCCCTGATCTCTTCTTTGTTTTTTCTCTTTGTGTTTTCTTCCAGAAGGATTTGCCCCTGCCCCGCAAGAACAGCAGGTGAGTCTTACCTCTGCTCCCTCCCTCTCTCTCACCCCCCTCCACCTTATCCTTCTCCGCTGAGCCTTTTCGCGCTCCTCTCCCCCGGGGGAACCACTCCCGATCTTTCCATTGCTCCGTGATGAAGAAAAACAGCACACAACATTTGTCTGCTTGACATGACTCACTGACAGACTGTGTTTTAGAGAGAGCGGGCCTGGCGTGAATGTTGCCGTGCGGAATTCTGCGATATCGGTGTGAGGAATGTGATTAAAGCCAGTGGGGAGTGCAGCCGGGGTGCTGTCCATGGTGCTGAAATCCTCCTTTTCAGCCTTTTCCAGTTGGCTCATGTCTCTGTCCCACTGTGCTCTGAGAGTTTTCCGCTCTTTGCTTGATTCTACTCACAGGGCCTGGCTACTTCTTTGTTTTCCATTTTTCTTTCAGTATGGTCCAGAAATGCTAATCTGATGTAAAATTTTCTGTGCGCACAAATGTTGCACAACTTGCACATGCAACTAAATATGCTTATGGGTGGGTCTTAGCAAGAACAAAGGGGAAAGTGAACAGAATAGTGGTTGGGCCTGCTAAGTCAGTGAAGAGATTATTAAACAGAAGCAGAACTGTTGCATGATGTTTGTTATTTCCACCATGGCTGGTGGATTTAACCTACTGGTCATGTGTTGGGTTGATAGCTCAAACTGAAATGCCTGGAGGAAACCCACGGGGAGAAACAAGCTACCTGTGCCCAGAAACACCAGGGCAGCTTCATCTAGTCCAGAACCTTTTTGCGATGAGGTAAGAGTGCTTGGCAACACCAGCTCTCTTTTGCTCAATTTGGTGATGGATGGAATTAGAAAAGAGCACAAGATTTAGGACAGTGCATGTAAAATGTTTTAAATAAGAGGTGTCCACATTGACCTGGTTTTGAAGGTTGCTGTGGATTAACGAGGCCAGACAGGAGGTACAGAGGATGAGAAGAGATTTATGGATGTAGTGAAAGAGGCCATGTAGTTAGTGAGAAAGATAAAGGAGTTTGGCCTTATCACACTTTCAGATGAATGTCCTGTTTGAATTATATTGCTCAGTTATAGTATGTTCACAATTGTGCAAGATCCCATTCTGACAGGCCAAAGTTTTATTTGTTTTCATTCCTGACTCTTTTCGATTGCTCACTTTGTTACAATACATTATCAGAAGACCAAATGTACCTCACTGGACTATTGTGCAAGATCCTCATAGCACTTTGGGAACACCATGATATTACAGATAAGTATTTAAACACAGGGAAGTCCAGTCTTTGCTTACCTGCCTCTGTTGCTTTAAGAATCTCAATGCTGTTCTATTTTATTCCATGCCTGCATTGTAGTTGTAAATATATGCTGATATATTCTCCACTATAGCAGTTTGGAATCCAGTGCTTTTATCTTTCTCTCTTCTGGCGGCTAATTCATTATTTTTCTCACAATATGCTGAATATTACTTATCTTACAGAGAATATTGAAGTTTATATTTGACAAGTCAGCTACTGTCTATTTCCTCTAACCATAATTAGTACACAGTTTGTGGGTTTTGAGTTGAAAATTGAAAAAATATGTGGGTATAATGTTTAGTGGGCGTTCACAGATAGTAGTTTCGCAGGTGAATACAGGCTGCTGCACTGTCTGTCTGTATCATCTGTCGTTCCTATATCCCCATTTCCCTGTCCCATCTATCAAACACACATTATGCACGCACACACACACACACACACACACACACGCACACACACACACACACACACACACACACACACACACACACACACACACACACACACACACACTGCTCCTCCCATTACCATGCCTAATCACACACCAAATGAAGCTTTGCGATAGCTCCGGGTTTGGCCTTGTCTATCTGTCTCCATTTTCAGAACTATTCTCCCATTCCTGCACCCTCATAGGTCTTCCCTATTGTACTTTCACTCTCTCTCCCCGTCCTGACTGCAGAGGCGGGACACTGTCAGGGCTGCATCCATTATAGATGAGGCCAGTGGATCCAATCTGCTGCTGCTGTGTCCATCCATGAGTACACACTCCGCTGCTCACATGTGGACACAGACTGTTTGCATTCCCAAGGTGTAATGTACCAAAACTAGGTCATTATTCTGGCCAGTGGAAGGGAGAGGAGAAGATCACGACTGTAACGAAGCACAACCTAAGAAATGTAGCTGCTTAGACACAATCATAAAGACCTTTTCAAATTAACAATCTCACATAACCATTTTTAAATCAATATCAAGTCAAATCAAATATCACCATGTTGTTCTTTGGTCTCCATTTCCTGGAACTACTTATTGTCTAGTGAAAAGATGCATTCATTTTCGGTCATTCTGTCATTATTGCTTCACTGTATCATAATGATTGTCTGCGGTAGATGTACGCACAATCCCACCCCTCTACCGCGGGCCGCACTGACAGATGAAGCTGCAATCGGTGCCCATGCAGATTCACAACAACAGATTATTAACACAGCTTACATCCCAAAACTCAATTTACAGTAGTTGTGAAGCAACGAGTCTAAGTGGATCTGTTAATACCAGTACACGAGCACATACGGCGTCACCGAAGAACCACAACAAACCACACATGGTGGTACACATGTGCGCACTTCACTTTACGCTCCCACAACCACAGTATCAGAGCACAGAGGAGAACAGAACAGAATTCCCCTGTTCATAAGTATGGGACCTTTATTTGAGGGGCTAATAGGAAATAAAAAGACATTGACAGTCTGTTTACCTGCTCAACACTCGATGCGTAACTTGCTGGCAACCCGATGACTAAGCTCCACCTGTGCGTCGCCGAAATCCACGCGCACTCAGCGGCAAACACAGCTGTCCTATCAATATGCAAGCACGACAAAACTGCAGTGATCTATTCCAGAGGCTTGACGACATGTTAGCAAAAAGTACGAGGCAAAAACAAGCGTCTTCCATCCATGTTTGACATACGAGAAGCAGATACACTCCAGTGTAGTCCGCTTTCACACCGGCAAACGAACCAAAACTGGTCCGATTAACGAACCTCTGTATCCCGGTAGAACAGTGATATCTCCGTCCTCATCTTATTACCATGAACTCATAAAACAGCAACATGTAGAACTTTCTACAAACTCACCGCATCAGCCCAGAGTTCGGGTAACAGCAGCAGCCAACAGCGCTCACCGTAGCGCGCAGCTCCTCAGGAGAGCGCTGGGGTCTGGTCCTTGATCTTCTGTCGTCCTACAAGCGCGTTGGTCAGATGGTCCGGAGGCTCTGTCTTCTATGTGCTGGTTCCAGTGCGCAATGACTGGGTCTGAGCGGGTACATTCCGCCCTTCTGCGCGCTGGTTCTGTGTGGGGAAAGTGAGAATGCGCTGTGGACTACCTACAGGTGTGCGGGCTGCTCCAGTCCTTCGCGCTCAAGAACCGCGGCTGGTTCCGAGGTGGTGCAAAGCATCCGGACAGAAGCGTGAGTCCAGTTTAGTTGGTTGGCGTCCGTCCTCCGTGCATTTGGTTCTTCCCAGGGAAAGCGCTTTTCACTCCCCGCTCCACGTCATCTGAGCCCGACAGAACCGGAGCTGCTCCTGCTGGTTCGGGACTCTGGTTTGGATCTAGTCCGACTGTATTTCTCACACTAGGCTAAAAGCAGGACACTTTTTCAAGGTGAATAAATTGAATGGGCGATTGCCTATTGCCATAAAATTATTTGGTTAATTAAAGCCTAAAATAACAAATGCTGTAATTTGAATTCGAGACCCCTGTCCTAACCAGTCCCTGTAATTGTTACGAAACATTAGATCATCTTAAGTCTATAACACCACAGCATAGTGCCCTAAGATGTACCAAGTTAAACCTTATGAGTCTCAGTTCAGATAGACTGAGACCCGTCTGTGTTTTGGGTTTTGGCCATGGGCTCCTTAAATGGCACTGTGTGTTCCTTCACATTTCATTCAACATCTGCTGGGGCGTTGCGCAACAGCCCACGTGACGTGTGTCCGTCTGGACCCCCTGTGGAGTTACATGACTTGACCTCTCCTCCTGCTCTTTCCTTTTCTTACGTTCAAAGCACCCAGCCCCCCGGGAATACCCTTTATACTCTCTCTCTCACACACATAAATTTCACAATGACCATGCACATTAGCGTCGACAAAATGCCCTGTAATCCCATGTTGCCTGTTGTTGTTTTGGACCCGCCCACCTCTCTCTCTCATTCTCTATTTCAGTAGCTCCTTAGCGACACTTTGCCAGTAAGACGCAGCACTTCTCTTCAAGGAAGCTATTCTTAACTTCACGATGACCACATGTCAGTTATTTGACTTTTTCTTGGTCTTCGATTGCTTGGATTAACGTCTCGACATGTTCCGGAGGACTAAGAGGTACACAGAGGATGTGGTGATGATGTGTACTTGTTTTGCTCACCTTCTTGTCTGTGTGGGGCTGGGCTGGTTCAGCAGTGTTCATTTCAGATGGAGTGTGAGGTCACTGAGGGCTGCGGGGGGGTGTTAGATTTCGGGTTGGCTGGAAATCAGTTGCAAATCAGAGTTTAAATAGCAGTACTGGATATTAAAATGTGGTCTGTTCTGTTGAATGCTTTCTGTATGCTAATAGGCCATGATGAGTTCAAGTTTTATTATTATCACTTATTAGTAACACAGTGACAAATCTTCATCATGACCTTCTAATGCATGTTATGACAACAGTAAAAGCATGATTTGACCCTTTTCAATGACTAATTTTAACATTTCCTTCTAAAAAAAAAAAAAAAAATCTTAGTTCCTTCTCATGCTGTGCTCTAAACTAGCATGTTGATTAACTTGTTTCGAGCTTCAGATCTCCTGCTGTTAATGTGTGTGTCGTGGCTCTTGTGTATTTGATCCTGGTGTGAATGCAAGCCTGTAATCAGATATATCAGCAGTGACTCAGTGCACATCGACTCTGTTTCCGGTAGCCTAGGCTGCAGGTGGACTGATTCATGCTCTGAAGTAAGAGTGGAGGTTACA